TAGAGGACAGAGTAATGTGTTCACTGACACTAAATGATCAGACCGATGGGTTGTGTTTGTGCGTTTACTCTGCACTCTGTCCTACTACAGTATAGACGTGTTGCTGCAGCCGTTACTATTTGATGGCTCGCGTGTATGTTAGTAATTGGGGCGTTCACGGGTAGTCCGGACAAAAAGTATTGTTTAAACGTTACAGAAAGTGCGGTAGAGCAGTAAAATCCACATGTACGTGTTTGTCCTCATGGTACCTGTGGCTGTTGGTCAGACGTGAGACTTAATGAACTGCGTGAAGCGGAGAGACCCGCGCACGTGCGTCCGTCAGTGAAAATTACCTTGTGAATCTCAAAACGTAAAATTCAGTCATTTTTAGAAAATGCAACTCAGGAGCGCACACTCGCAAAAAACAGGAAGAGGGTGAAGGAGGGTAAACACATCCCATTGGTTTGTTGGGGATGAACGAATCCCATTGGTTTATTTAAAAAAATATTATTTATTAATTTTTGGAGACTACAGGCATCTTGTCAATTCCCTTACAATTTGAAAACACATGATAATGTGACTACTTTTAGGGTTTTCCCACAATATTTTAAAAAAATGCATCTGGAAAAAATCACTGACTGCATCTTTAAGACTCTCCTCTACCTGGTTGCATTTACATTATAGTTTTGTATCTGATGCTGTATCCTAGCAACCTTCTCAAAACGAACCAGACTCTGGAGAAACTCCTTGGTAACCATGGCTTCTAGCAGCACTCTGGCCAATCTCTGTCAGTTAGAACACTTAGTACCAGCTCGGCCTGAATAGAACCAGGACCAAGTGGGACTAAAGAAAGGTAATGGTAACCTGGTACTAGTTAAACAAAGCTAGTAGAAACAGTCCCGATCAGGGTGGAGTAGAGCTGGTGGAAAAAGCTCTTTACAAAAGCAGAGAACATGTTCTTTTGCATTTTTCTTTTATTAAACACGTGTGCTAGTGGGACACATATCTTTTACAACACCCTCCATTTTATTGCTGCCAAACTTCAAATAGTTTTCACATTTCTCAGAACCATTTCCACAGTATTTGCAGCCGCTTTGAATCCCGGCAGCATCGAACCCTAATCAAAACAAGAAGACGCCCGCGAGCCAAGCGCTGCCACGAACCGGCGATGGCTCAAATTCGAAGTGACAGTTTGACATGTAATATGGCACTCGTAATGTGATTAGGGCCAGCGTGGCACTTTCTTCAGACTCCCACATCTCCTCTGTGTCCAAGTCCCTCTGGATACACTCACCGCCAAATAATCACAAAACCCACAAATTTTAGGCCGAGAGATTGGTCAAAAAAAAATCTCGTTTTTCTCCACAGCTTGAGACGAATTGAAATGATGCCGTGGTTGAATCATGGCCCCCCGGAGGGCCATCATGAGCATATGTAGCGGGTGAGGGAGAGAGAGAGAAGGAAGCGTGGAGGGGGGAAAGAGAAGAGTGATAGCATGTTCATAAAGCTGATGAATGACTCTAACTCTAATTGGCGTGGATCCCAAACCAGTCTGACCACTCTGGCCCCAGTCTAAAGGCGAATCCAACCGATCAAAAGTGTCTTCTAACATTGGCTTATTACTCTAACTTTGGAACAGCAATGGTCAATAAAACAACTAACATACAGAGGCTCTACCCTCTGCTCTGCTCAGCTTTACCCCAATTGGAAGTGTATCTATTGGCAACTGGTACCAGGTTCTATCCAGCTAAAAGAGAACAACTGCACGTTTTAGTAGCTTAGGGCTGTTTGACTCATTTTGGGTCGCAGGAATAAAAGTGGTTTTCATTTGTTATTAATATGTTTTTTACAGACTCAAGCTGTAGATCCAAGACTCAAGCAGTAGATCCAGGACTCAGGCTGTAGATCTAGGACTGAGGCTGTAAATACATCCAGAACAGAGGAGCTGAGTGGGTGAAAGTACAAAGTGGTCCATGGATTATCAGAGCAGCTCGGCTTGGCCCGTCTCCTGCCTGTCAATCAAACCATGCAAATGAGGCTTGACATGACAATGATATCACCCCCGGCGACAGATCCTGACAGCAGCGGACGGACGAAAGAAGGAGAGAGAGGGGGGGAGGCTCAGAAATCTAGGGCAAATAATGACGAAGAAGCCAGATGGAGAAATAGTGAGTGAGTGGTGGGCCGGGCTGGAGGGGACTGTGTGTGGGAGTAAAGAGATTGTTCTGCTGTTGTCTGAGTATGCTCCAAGTCGGCCAAATGTAACTGCATTTTTATCGTATGGTGAGTGCACTAGTTCCGGACGACTTTAAAACCTAGACTCCTAATATATTTAATAAACTACTGGAACTCCTACAGCATTTTTGACTGCTCCCATTCAAACCAATGTAATTCTGAGAAATTCCCCCCAAAAATGCAAGTCATTTCAATAAAGAATCAAGAATTTATTTGCCATTTGCAGTAAAACCAGATTTACTGTTAGTAAATGCGGTGTTAGACTACCCCAATGTGCACCAAAAGATAGCACACACCGGCACTCCTGCTACGGCACCATTTTTCCCACGCCATGCCTGCAAGGTTTTTAGCTTTATTCACTTTTAAGTGCTAACTGATCAAAACTCTGAACCAGATCCAGTTCAGACCCAAGATCCATGTTCTATATATAGACTGGAAAACACAAGCATTTATAGATTGTTGTTTTATCCAAAGGATTGGTCAGACACATAATTACCAATTATTTTTGTTACAACGTAAGCATGTATAAATGACTCACACTTAAATTATTTGCTCTAAAGCAGGGGTGTCAAACTTATTTTGGTTGAGGGCCGAATAAAAAAAGAAAGAGCTGGTCAGGGGCCAAAAAAATAAGTGGGTTTCATTTATTAAATTTTCTTGGAATATGAAGGTATCTAAATAAATGCCTGGTTTCACAATAGTTGGATTGGACATTCTTTTCTGATTAGAATTAGTTCAGTTTCTGTGGACTGAACCAAAACTGGACCAAATGGTGAAGGTATATAGGAAGATTTTATACTTTTGAGTGGATCATCAAGATTATTGCTCCTCCCAGTTTTCAATCATTGTGGTGATTTGTGCTTGTCACATAAGACCAGAGAGTTTTGTTCAAAAAGAGGGCAGTTCTTTCCTAAGAAAATTGGAAAATTCTATATTTCTTATGGAATTAAATGTTATGGTTGTTTTCTTAGTGATGGATAACATGCCATTGTTGCCTATTACCATTTATGCTGCTATTTAATATAATAATTCAAAACCATCTCAAGGGCCACTGGAAATGGTCTCGCGGGCCGGATCTGGCCCCCGGGCCTTGACTTTGACACCTGTGCTCTAAAGCAGAGGTGGCAACCGTGTGTAAATGGCAAAGGAAACCCCCTACTATAAAGAAAGAAGCTGAGAAAAGTCAATTTGGTTTAATAAGTTTTCTTTAGTTTTGTCCAAACGAAAATATCAATAATACTCATTTGAGACTATGATGACTCTGAAATTAAGGAAAGGCTTGGAACATGACTCAATACTAAACGTTTGATGTCACAGACTGTAGTCCATTCATCTGAAAGTGGAATACCCAGGATGACAACAGCTCACAAACCAGTATGATGGGGTTTGTTTTGTACATTTAGCGCTTGAGAAGGAAACTCCTGCATTTAACCACTCACTGGAGCATCTTACCTTAGCATCTGTCTCTATAGTGCGTGTTTGATTAATGAGAGGAGGAACATACAAACGTCAGTCACCTGTTCACACGTCTCACTCCATCCATCCATCTTCTTCCCCTTAATCCATTTCTGGGTTGGGGGAGCTGCACCCAATTCACAGAGCACCAAGATCATTTGCCAACTAGTTTTTTTCAGTTCAGTCCCAGAGGAATTTCCACAGTTTTATGCATCTCAAGCTTCAAGAAAAAGTGTGGGATTGGAATGTGTCAGGTCCCTGCACTGGCTTCCTGTGACTCAGAGAATAGACTTTAAAGCAGGTCTGCTTGTGTACAAGTCTCTCCATGGCCTCGCACCAAAGTACATCTTTGACATGTTAGTGCCATATGAACCAACTTGGACACTGAGGAGCACAGGGACTGGTCTCCTGCTGGTGCCCAGAGTAAGGACTAAACATGGGGAGGCAGTGTTTCTACTCTGGCGTCTACTTTAACAATTATTCAAATCCAGGTCAAAAACATTTCTGTTTTTCTGTAACAACTGATACATTTTATCTTCACTATTATGCACTGTGATTAACTATGATTTTAATGCCTTGTGTGATTTTTTCTTATTTTGTTATTCTTATTATATTTTTGTCTTGTGTATGAACTGTGCCATACAAATAACTTACCTAGCCTTGTTTTCCAAATCTCTGTGATTACAGCTCCAGACAAGGGGAACTCCCGGTGATACAGCTAGTTTAGGACTTACTGGACTCTGGTTAGTGCTGGTTCAAAATCCGCTTGGGTAACGTGGGTATCGGGTATTGGCTTTCTATTGATCAGCCTGCATCTGACCCTCACACAGGTCATGGTCAGTCTGCATTGTACCTTAACTTAGGTCATGGTCAAGCTACATTTGACCCTCACATGACCTAGGCCTTGGTCATGTCAGGAATGAACCAGACAGAGACGGATCGTGGTGCGCCAAACTCTGGAAGTTTATTTAAGTTTCTCTCAAGTTCAAGTGGTTTCAATTGTTTCTTTCTCTCAGACAAAATGGAGTCAGTACACAGTTTATATAGTCATTGTCATGTCACACATCTAAAGACATACGTGTCACACAGAGACAGTGCACATCATAGTCAAAACATGGAGTCATCATCAAAGTCCTTGTACAGTCCTTCACGTAGGCCATATTGCTATCTAATCCTAACCGTCAGCCTGAATCTGGCCCTCACACAGACCATGGTCAGCCTGCATTGTACCCTAACACAGGCAATGGTCAGCCTACATCTGGCCTTAACACAGGCCATGGTCAGCCTGCTTCTGCCCACTCCAAGCGGCTGTGATGTGGACAGGATGACAGATGGAGCTAAGGGTTCGTGGGGACATGACTTCAGTGGTGAATGGATGGCAGTGCCGCGGCCCACTGACCACAGGGAATCCAGAGAGCAGCAGCCGTTTGCCAAAAGCCCAGGGTTTCCAGAACTGTGGGTCATTTCTCAACTATGTTTAAAAATGTGTCAACGACCAGAAAGGCTGCCTGAAGCTGCCAGCTCTCCTGCCCCTGAACTATTTCTGTAGTCCCAGTCGCAAAGTAAAAGTGATGTATAAAATATATGGAAAGAACGTATAAACATGCCTCTTCTCTATAAAACCAATTAAAAGATGCAGCTCTTTTAACACTCCCAGTTTTACAGTTCCCTAGAAAAAATCCTCCAAAAATGTTCAGTTTTTCACCAGATGTATTAATGATTAAGTGGTTTAAGTATGTGCTACAACTTATAGATAGGCTACCAAACTGTTTTGAACTTATATTGTGTAACCTGCTGCTGTGTGAACTGTGAGTTCTGACTCACTGTGTGTTTGTGTAGAGTATGTGTGTTCTGCTTTGAGTTTATGCTGCAAATGAATTGCCCTTTGGGATCAATAAAGTTTTCTGAATCTGAATCTGAAACTGTGTGTTTCTATGGTAACTAGCACTCAGTCCAGCACACCAGACTCAGATCAGGACCAGTCCAGGACCCGTCCAGGACCAATCCAGGACCAGCCCCTTGAAAAGAGCTTTAACAGAAATAGAATGTTGCTTGCCAGGCAGAAGCGGGGAGATAAAGGCGGAACTCTTCACTTCACAACTCTTCAATTAAAAGTTGAACTATTTATATTAACATAATAATTCACAAACTTAAAAAGACCATCAGTGTACATGAGCAGAGGAATCACACTCTCAAAGCTCAAAGCCGTCAGATTGACTGCTGTGGGAGTTCTGATGTTAAGAAGGCTTCCTCCCAGCCTCGGCCCCTCCCTCCTCTTAGGTTAAGAAAAGCCTGTCAGAGCACATCAAGTCAAGCCGAAGACATCGTTGAGCGGCTGTGACAGGCTGCGAGCTGCTCAGACGGCTCTATAATGGGGCTAATAATAGTGTGGTCCAAGCATCATTCACCAACGAGCCCAGTGCGACTGCACCGCTGTCGGAGGCCGATGATGAGGCTCATCTCAATGATACGACACGACCAGAGCAGAAGGTGGACAAGCTCCAGCTCCCTGTGAGGCCGGCCCCAGGGCCGGGCCAGAGCTGCTCATCACAAAGCACTGAGCTGGAAAATCACACATGACTGCGGCTCCAGAGCGAGCCTGTCTTTGAAATTGAGAGAGGGTGACCTCGGCGCGCCTGGGGACTCTGTTAACCAATCAGCATGAACTTCTGCTCCGTTCTGTGTGATGTTTGTGTGAAGAGGTGGTGACAGCTATAGCCACAAGCTAATGGAGTCAGTCCACCGGGAAAGCACTCCCTCGAGCCTCCACAAACTGAGTCTCCCGGCAGAAAGCATGTAAACTCACTCTGTCACTTCAAAGTACAAGACCAGGTCTTTTCTGCAAGTTATCACAATTTCAAAGTAAAGCAGCCAAACAGAGACGAGTCCATGTCCGAGGGACAGACTATAGAGCAGTTCAGGACCGAGTGACAGACTGTAGATCAGTCCAGGACAGAGGGACAGACTGTAGATTCAAAATTCCAGAACTGTGGGATAGTTGGACTGAAACTGAACAATCGCAGATTGATTAATTTTAAAGAAATGCTCATAACGACTGTATCTGCTTTGCAAACTAAATAATTTTGGTAAGAGTCGTTCTATCCTTGAGACCGTCTACAAGAGCCTTGTGGAGAGCATCCTCACTTTTAACATACTGATGTGGTCTGGCAACCTCAGCATGAAGAATCTGAATAAACTACAAAGGACTGTGAACCAGAGCTCGAAGATCATTGGGCAGCCACAAAGAGCTCTCCGCTGTTTGTTCGAGGAGCGCTTAGGAAAGAAGGCTGAACTCATCATTAATGCTTCTGTAAAAACGACAACTCAAAATTGTTCACCTTACTGAAGCCTAAGTTATACTTGCGCGGCGCGGAGCTTACGGAGGTGACGTGACGTCACTTGCGCAACGCGTTGGTCACCGCAAGGCCCTTACGTTGCCTGTCCTGCAGCATCGAAATTTTCTAACTACGTAAGGGTCGCCGCAAGGAATCTCCGCTGTGATTGGTCCGTGTGTGTGTATTGGAAGGAAGCACGGAGCGGCTGCAGCAGGGACATGGAGGAGGCACTATGGAGCAGAGAGCTTTGTGCTTCGAAGGAAAAGCAGTTTGGGCTCAGAGCCTGATATACAGGAGACTGTGGACTATCTAACATATATATAACTTATAAACTGTGCAGTCGTTTGTTTTGCACTGTTCCTGTCTTTGTTTGAATCGTAGCTGCGTTTGTTGCTTTCCTCCTGCACTCGTAAATCGTTCATGTTTGTCTCAGATATTTACCACTATTATTGTTTTGCTGTTTGTGCTGAAAACTATTTAATAATAACTATGTTTCCAACAAGAACTGTGTCTTTATTCACAGCATCACAGTTGAAATGACTTATAAAATAATGAATCCATAAAACTATCACATAAACCTACAGTAGAAACACGTTTAATGAGCTCAAACAGCTTTGTTTGCTATTGTTGTTCTGAAGAGGACAAAGTAGCAGCGTAAATGGGACCGCTCCTGTGTGATCGCCCTCATGTGGTTTGTTGTGGGATTACAAAATTCTCCTCAAAACTCCGTAAGGGGAACGCGCCAGTATAACATCAATAGTGCTTACGTAGGTCCACCGCAACCGCTAACGTAAGCCACGCCGCGCAAGTATACACTAGGCTTAAGACTTTTGCATTCACTGACAATGAAATTGCCAGTTGGAACTTGAACTGTCTGTTGTGAGCCACTTGAACTCACTTTCAGAAGTTTCTGGTAAAAAGTTCACCTTATTTGATGAATTAAGTTCATTTTACTTTGAAGTTGTAGCTGACATGTCAACTACAACTTCGAAGTAAAATAAACTTAATCAACTTCTGAAAGTGAGTTCAAGTGGCTCACAACAGACAGTTCCAGTTCCAACTGGAAATTTTATTGTCAGTGATTGCAAAAAGCTTAGTAAGGTGAACAATTTTAAGTGGTCGTTTTTACAGTGCACCGAGCTAGAGTGAGGTCTACTTATCTGCGCTCATTTCAAATTTGTCATGGCAACTGGCTGCATTCAACATTTTGAATAAACTAATTTGACCAAATAAATCATTGTATTTATTTTTACCAAACGTAATTGACAGGGCCAAGCCAAAGTAGCCCTATATGAGTGGGTCATCTTTTTAGAATGCTCTAATTTTTATGAAAGGTCACTGTGCTTGCACGCAGTACTTAACAGAAACTAAGCTCTAGTTGAGTTGTAATCATTATTGCTTCTCAATCTGAGAGTTCTAGAGTTCAGGACCTTAAGACTAAGATATGACTGTCGAATGAGCTTATATTCTTAAGTTCATGGCATTTATAAAACTAAAACGGATTAGTACAAACAATGTGTAAGTTAGTCTAGTGAGCTAATGAGTGTTAATAAAGACTATGTTTAATGAACTTATATTGTTATGTTTATGGTATTTATAAAAATAATCTTTATTGAGGGAAGGAGTTTCCTCAATTTCCCCACTATTCGGGTTTACAGTGTGTGCGGCACGGTGGCTGAGTGGATAGCACTCTCGCTTCTTGGCAAGAAGGCCCTGGATTCGAATTCCGTTCAGAACAGGGCCTTTCTGAGTGGAATTTGCATGTTCTCTGTGTCTGCATAGGTTTCCTCCGGGTGTTCCGGTTTCCCCTACCCAAGTGACCTTAGTCTGTAAAAGCGCTATATAAATAAACATGAGGATGAAACAGAATGATTTAATGTGGGGGGTAATTTAAACTCAAAATAGTAAGTTATTGCGGGGGACGGTCATCTGAACTTAAAATAGTATGTTTTTATAGACTTGAAAGTCCCAGTAACTTGAATTACAAACACTTAGTTGGCAGAACTTGGAAAACTTAGCTGACACAACTTGATGAATGATTGTAGTTCTCCAAAACGTAAAGAATTAAGTTGATGCCTTCAACTCAAAAGTCCCGTGCAGCCAGTTGCCTTGAAATTTTGAGTTAAACTAACTTTTTCGTTTTTACAGTGCATCCGCTAAACCGCAAGTTTGAAGTTCTGCCATCAGGACGGAGATATTGAGTCATATCAGCCAATAAAAACATGTTTTAAAACTGCTTTGTGGCCAGAGCAGTGAAAGCGGCAAACACTCTTAACCTTTGAGAAGTCCTTTGGTTGACTCTTGTCTTTTGGCCTGATGAGGCCTTGTTGTGTATTCTGTTCCCCGTTTGTTCAAACCTTTGCTGCACAATTGTACTGAGAATGTAGTGCCACACATTTTGCTGGATGTGTTATTTTTATGTATTTTAAGGTGACTCTTAAGACAATTTTCCACCTTGGTTGACAATAAAGTTTTAATGTGCCTATCAGTGATGGGAATAATGGCTTTAAATGGCGTTACAAACGCCGTTCCTTTTTTCAATAACGAGTAATCTAGCTAATTACTTTGACTGTCACTATAATGCCGTTATCATTGCTGACACCCCATTACTGTACGTTACTCAAATCGCACAATTAACTTTTTTTTAAACTTCATGTTAGGACTCGTGCGCGTGTTGACATGAGAGAAGGGAGGATGAGATAATCTCTCAGCAATTATTGGTTGATGTATAGTAAGATTACGTCTTCAGCCAATCAGAGAAATTGGGTAGGTGGGTGTCAGTGACGTGCGATCAGAGGAGGCAGGTGAGGCCCGGCCTCACAGCAATCATGTAAACAAAAAAGAAAAACAGCCTTTTCCTGATGGAAATATCGGCACAATTTCAAACTCACTGAGGTTAAAAGGTAAAAAGGTAAAAATGTGCCCGCCGAGTGCACATTATGTTCCAGAATGAAACTAAAAAGTAATGCAAGAGTTACTTTTACTGGTAACTCGTTACTTTTATAGGGGAGTAACTCAGTTACTTTTTGGGTGAAGTACTTTTTCAAAGTTACGTGCCCAACACGGATGCCTATTCATACTCATATTCAAGTCAGTTTTTGAATAGTGCAGCGCCTGGCCAAAATGCACATTTTTGCCAGGAGAAAAAGTCAGTTTCCCCAGCTTCAGTGTCAATTAAAAAACTTTATACTGTTTGAGTAAAACTGATATTGAATGTAAATAATCATGGAGTATTCTGCACATCCCACTCATGTCCTGTCAGACTTTATTGTGGACAGTGCATCCAAGGACAAATTTGTATTTGTGTGTGTGTGTGTGTGTGTGTGTGTGTGCGCGCGCGCGCATGTGTGTGACGGCTAAACAGAACAGACAGTTTGCTGACAGGAGTGGTGCCACCGAGCAGTTTGCCAAGAGGCGAGATTTGTGGAAATATGCCCCATGTCATTTCCTCTCACGTCCCTGACAACTTCACTCTGAGTGTGTGTGTGTGCATGTATGCATGTGCGGGTGTGTCCGTGTGAGTGTGTGTGTGTACGTATATGCATGTGTATGTGTGTACATATGCATATGAGTGTGTTTGTGTGTACATATGTGCGTGTAGTGCGTACGATTGTTTGTGTGTGTGTGTGTGTGTGTGTGTGTGAATATGTATATTAAAGTTTGAAAAATAAGAGGTCTCTGCTTTGACTGCTGCCCCCGTGATCCAGCAACGAATAAAGCGGGAAATTACGGATGTATGGAAAGAAGAGGGAAAACCTAACTCAACAAACACACATTCAAATAGACAGTTTTGTCTGAGTCCTTCCAGATGGAAATAGTTTTTGTGTCCTTTGGCAAAGCACTTCTCCCCCGCAGCCTCATACTGTCTGTACAGTGTTACAGAGGCTGGTGTGGTGCCCACGGTTACCGTCGTCATAATTACTGTCGGTGCCATCTCTGCACGCCGCCGCCAGCACCTGTCTCCTGGCTGACAGCGCACACCACACCAACAGGACAGCAGAGAAGCTATGATCGGTACAGGGCCTTACTGAGGGGAGTGTGCATGTTCTCTAAACCAGTGTTAATTTGGTTGACAATATATTATTGTCACATTTTTTGGGATGAAAACGAAACAAAAACTAAAATAGAGGTCATTCTTTCAGACATAGACGATGACTAAATTGATTGACATTTTCGTCTACGAATAAAAGACAAGACGAAAAATGGACCATGACGAAATCAAATCAGACGAACAGATATATAAGAGAAAACAACCAATCGACTGGCCAGAGTAATACTATTTCCTTTTTTCGTGAAATAGTCAAATAAATACACTACGAGCTATATATATATATATATATATATATATATATATATATATATATATATATATATATATATATGTATGTTTATATCTCCTGTACACCCACAGGAGGAGAGCCTTTTGACTACAAAACAGACAAGATTGATATGGTTTTCAATGGGAGCAAAACGGAGTTGCTCCATCTCTGCTCATAAACTACAGACAGTAATGCGCTGCAGTGCATGTGTCTATACTTTATGTCAAATGTAAACGGTGACTCTTCTGGCCCATAGAAAAGCCATGTTCCAGCTTCTTCCCTCTGGCAGAAGATATCTTTGGCTGAAATGCAGCTAACAGCTTTTTTCCACAAGCTGTTAACAGTCCGAACAAAGCACTTAAATGACCTTGCACTTGTTATTATTGAAGATGTTTTTGTTGATTTGTTTCAAAGTGACAATTGTTTTTTGTACTTTTTAACACTTTTGTATTCCAATGTGGTTTTACTGCAAATGGCCAAAAAAACTGAATCTGATATGAATTTGATTTCAGTTAATTCTGGGCCAGCTAGGTGGATGAATATTTTATAAAACTTTGAAGCAACTGTGGTTATAGTTGAATTCATCATTATAACACATACTTGGTATGTGCTGGTGCCTTTCCACTTAATGTTTTTGTTTTTCTGAAGGCCAAGCTACTGGCACCGTACAGCTGCCGATTAGACTGTCTATCCTATAATATCGCTTGCATTCTGTAAATTCTTTGTTCGTGTCTCGTCTTTACCATCGACAATAAAACATGTCTTCTGTCTGTCTGACTCAATCCCAGACTTTGTCCTTTTCTTCAGGTGATTTTCTTTCACTTCACAGTCGTCTTTTACTTTTTTGTGGTTTTTCAAACAAAGAAACAAACAATAAATTTGGTCCTGAACATGTTAGAATGTTGCCTGGGCCTGTCTCCCCCTCTCTCCCCCTCCTTCAACCTGACTTCACCTGCAGTCCGCTCCACTGCACGCCTCCCTCTGCCTCTCGTTTGACCTCTCAGTGTCACGTCTTTAGCCTTCCTCCCGCAGCTCTGTAATCCCCTCCCCTGTCAGTCAGCGCAGGGGCCTGCCGCTGGGACGTCCTGCAGAGGAGCAGGGCTGAATGGGGAGGTGGGCCAGGGTCAGGAGTTCACAGGAAACTGGGGAGGGCAGGAAAAGCTTTGACTTTTGAAAGAGGTGGACGGAGGTGTGATGGACGCTCTTTCAGAACCCACACAGACATATACACAACTCCAGAGCCAAAAGGAGACGTTTGATTGGCTGAGAGTAGTTCTGCAGTTGATAATAGATAAATTGTACTTCATCAAGGAACAGCTATTGCTAGATAAGTCTTGCACAACAGTTGATAATGGGTTTTCTCAAAGTTTTTGTCCCAAATTGCCTTGTCGCTGTTTTGGATGGAAGAGGTAGGTTTGGTAGTTCATATGTTTTTGCAAGGCAAGGCCAGTTTATTTTTATAGCACAGTTCATACATTTTTTGACATTTATTTGTTGTTTAGTCTTTGCATTTCTTGTGTTTGAACTGTTTGATTCTCTGATCTGTGCTGGCGAATTCAACGGTTTTGTTAAGTCCTCCCAGATAACTGTCATTGTGATTTAGGGCGATACAATAATAAATTGAATTGAATTGAATACACTAGGCAACTCAAAGCGCTTCACAAAACTAGAAAAGAAAAATCAAAAACAATCACAGCGCTGCCTCACCATGTTTAGGCCTGACTTTGGGAATCAGCAGGAGGCACATGTGGAATTAATGAATGAGCCTCAGCAGATAGAAGCATTGTGCGTGTGGTGGCTTCTATAGTTTTAGAAGGTGGAGCACAGTGACGAGAGACAGGAGCTGGCAGCATGCTGCAGATGTCAGATGGAGGAAGGTTCAGGGCACTTTAAAACTTTTAACCATAATAAAACGTTGTTCCTCATCAAAACAAGACTGAGGGTGGTTTTATTGAGAATTCATAAATCATAAAATCTTTTCATACACACTATAAAAGAAAAAACACAATCTAAAGCAGGACTGGGCAATTATTATCTTCTTTTGCGTGGTTACCACATATTTGCTTAATTTGCTTTAACAAACAGAAATATTTTAAAGATGATAAGGAAAGGAAAACATGGAGCCAAAATAGCCAAAAATAGCGAGTAATAGCAAGTGTTTGTGGCTTCTTTTTTTTTTTACCTTTTCACATTTTGTTTCTATGTTAATAAAGTGCTGAACTTTATATGAAATTAGTCAAATGTTGTTGACAGCCCTGTGTTACAGATAAGCTATTTTTTGTTTAATATGTATTAAGGGGGTTGGATGGTTACATATCTACGCTCAAATTATTGTAACCAACTCTTCACTGCAGGTAGCTGTTAAAGCCTGTAAAAGTCGACCGCATATGGTCAAATCAGTCGGCCCTCGGGGGCCCCCTGCCGGTTTGGGGGCCCCAGGCAGCTGCCTGCCTTGCCTAATGGCAAGGGACGCCTCTGAAGATGGCGACAGAGCAGGTAGGCCCTCTAGGAATTCAAGTTAAAAAAGAATACACTCGTGACCTGCTGTTTGCTGTATGAACTTGAACGAGAGTCTGCATCCTCCGTGGCCGCTGCGTTCTGACCCGGGGCAGCTTCGGCTGGACAGCGGTTCCTACCTCCAGCGGCTGGGAACCGCCGTAATGTGGTCAAATCCCATATACGTGCACGGAACTATTTTCTGCTTGTTGTGTGCGTGTCGTTGTGTAACCTGGGCATGCAATAAATACACTGCTGAAGAGGGATTATAGAGCCTCAGGAAGTGTTCGTGTCTCCTCTGTGTCTCTTCCCGAAGCGCAACCGAAGTTTGCCAAACAAGGAGTTAACTGAAGCCAATCAAACCAAGGAGGAGGCGCGTTGAAACGCTCTGTGCCACTGTGAAGCCGGGAAACTCATTGAGCCAATGAAATGCTTTGAAACAGTGGCAGTTGATACAAAGCAAAGCAGTGGCTGCAGTCAGACGCTGACAGGTTTGTCACGTGAGCCGCTGTTCTGATACACACTCCATTGTTTCGAAGCTGTCTGCTTTAGGAAGAACGACACAAGCTCCGGAGTGTCTGCGTTGTTTGCCCCTCCTTTACCTTTTCACCTTTCATTAGCTGCACTGGAGTTTATTACACTGAGCGATTTGAGGCACATCTGACATTGAAACCCTTGTGCTACCCTTGCCACAGTGATTAAAATGAGACCCACCTGCCCTGACAGAGCAACCCATCGTATAAAAATACCAATGCAGCTTTTATGTTCCTGTTTTTAGAATGTGGAGTTCCGTGAGGCCCTGAACCAAATGGAGAAGACTGTGATTGGGATCTATGTCGTATTACCAGAAGGCTATGATGACACCCAGACTCACCAGACAAAGTAGGAATCATCATTGAAGGTGTGACTGTGCTCTAAGACATTAAAGATGTAGCCACAGCATTTTCTTTGCTTTGATCTATGTACTCAATCTAAACTACCCAGCTGATCTGAAGTACAAGTTTGAATTCATTCAAAAGGTTCTGAGGAACTTGACACCAAAAAGCTGTCAAACAAAGTGCAAGTACTGAAAAATAAGCTTCTTGAGTAGATGCTAATTTCACCTTTAGCACAATCTTTACTTTGTTTGTTCTTTCACTTAAGATTACATTCTAAAAATGGTAAATGATGTATTAACACTTCCATTATATTTATTTTTATATTTAATTTCATTTATAAACCATTAAGACAGGATCAAAGAATCACATGTTCCTATTAAAGCTGTGGGACTTAACTTTCATACCACACAAAAAAGCCGTCACGTCTTTAGATCTTTTTATTTATTTTTTTGACAAAGTGAGAGTAGACCAGAGAGAGGGAGACCAGAGAGAGGAAGCCCAGAAATTGTACTGTAACATTGAAATTAACGTTTTCACTTTAAGACTAATTGCCAGTGGCTTATAATTATTTTCATTTCAAAACAAAAGGTAAAAAGGATTGTTATATTCACATTTGTATCATACTAAACATTCTCAATGTTCAAATTAGTTTCTGAAAAAGGCATATCCAATTGTTAGAAATTCCATGTACGTACAAAACATACATATGACTGACTGTTCTTTGCCATGTTATATAAAAATAGACTTAGGATATGGATAATTCATACAGGCGTGTCCGTGTTGAAAATTAAAGTTGACAAAATATCAATAGATTTTCATTGCATAGCTAATGTCAAGAGGTTGTTTGGCTACAACATCATATATAATGACATTATTAGGGAAAAAATACAGCACGATTGGTTCTTTTAGACCTCCATAAAAGGAGCAACGACCCAGTAACACCGCGATGGGGAGGCACGTCTTGAAAATTCCAAGTCAGGCCAATAAAGAGGATCTCTGTTGAATTATTGCTTGGGGTTGGGGAAAAGCTACGTGGGAGTGACGTTCTGCCCATTAGACCTTGCAGCGCCAAATATTATTTTTATTAATGCGAACAGGAATTGGTTTGTTCTACAACACTCGCGAGGATTAAAAGAAACAGGGCCAGCAAGAAGGAAGAAGTAAACAAACAGCTCGGCCATAAGTCAGCCTGCAGTCAGCGCTCGGAGCTGGGGGCCCCAGTGTACAAGGGCCAAAGAAAACACCGCCGAGTTTGTTCAGTCGTAAATTAACGGCTCGACAGTCAAAAGTGTTGGGGCTAATTTGTCAAGACTGCCAAGCTTTTTCCCCTTTTTCTTTTTTTTCCTTCTCAGTTTAAATTCTGTATGGCAGTTTGTCCATCTCTCTCTCTCTCTCTCTCTCTCTCTCGCTCCCTCCCTCTCTGTGGAAAAGAGATAAAATTGGCCACCTCTCTGATATATCTATCTATGTATTTAGAAGAAACATCGCTGAGCTTATCCCTGGCCTCTTTCTAAATGAGCTCATCTTCAGCTTTGTAGGGTTTTTTTCTCTAACAGGAGCTAAATGTGCAAACCTATGTGGAATATCCCGTTAGTCTTTATTTACATAAGCCTCATATCACACACAGCAGCGGCGCACAAAGCCTTTTACAGCAGGCATTCTGTGGGACTCCTAATCACCTGACAGTTCCTTTCAAACACTACTCACACACAGCGTTTACACAGGAGGAGGGCGACTGGCTGCACGGTTTCCATTGTTTGGGTTTCATCACTTGAAGAAGAAGCAAAAACTTGACTCGGGAAAAAGTTTTTTTGATTGCGCTGTGAAAAGGAAGTTGACTATAAATGTCAGACATTGTTCATCAGATCAACAATGAAAAATATCTGAGTGTTTCCCAAATATTTACAGCTGTTTAGTATCAATTCAATTCAATGTATCGCCCTATATCACAGCAGTGTCGTCTCTGAGGACTTTACAAAGTTGTGGATTTGCCAACATCAGATATAAACAAACAGTTCAAACAAAAGAAATGAAAAAATAACAAAAACAGGAGCCACTGGTCCATAGGGAGCGGGATGACCAGGTCTGAGGTTGTAGATCCAGAACTCAGGCTCTGGGACAGCTTTTCTTCAGCAGGCACAGCCCAATTACCCAAAAACATAAATCCATGGCAACAATGGACTGGTTGAAAACGCAATAAACATCTATATTTTCCTATGGCCAAGTCAAAGCAATAAAAATAAAATAAAAATATTACACACTGTCCCTTTAACATGACACTGACTTGTTTGTGTCCCATTCCTCTGTGAAGGAGTCTCCAAAGAGAACTCCAAAAGCCAAAGTTAGTTTTCCCAGTGTGCAATGCAATCATGGCGCTGACAGGCATATGCTTGCATAGCTGAAAGTGACCCCCCCCCCCCCCCACCACCACCCCTGCACTGGCCCCTCATTTGTCAATCAGGCAGACACACAGGACACCCGTCCCAAAGAGTGCAGGGTCATGGGATCCTTCACCTCTGCTCCCCACGCTGCCACTGCTTCTATTGAGCCGGGTCACACACTGCTGTCACCTCCTGCTCTCCCATCAGACCAGAGAGCAGACAATACTGAGAAAAAAAACACAAGGAATCCTTGACACTCCCGTTCACATACTTCCAATATCTGATTTAACAGGATTTCACTGTTTTATTAAAGCAGCGGGTCTTAAACGGGTGGTCCTTAAATGTCCTGGTGTAGATGGTTTTACACAGGTTTCCTCTTTCTCTGAATTCCTCTGTATTATTCTCTTAATATGAACCAAAAAGGCCATTATGGTATCAACATCAATTGACAGAATTACTAATTATATTGTAGGAATTGGAGAGAGAAAAAGAGACCAGAGAGACCATAGAGAAGAAAAGAGAGAGGAGAAAGAGTGGAGACCAGAGGGAGAGGAGAGAGACAAGAGAGAGAGAAAATACAAGTAAAATCACATTTGATTTTTGTATTTACAATTCTTGTGCCGTTTTTTTCTTTTTAAATGTAAATCTGTGCATTAAATATTAATTATCTTGTACATTGTTAATACATGAGCATCAAATGACCAGAGCACAATATCTCTTCAACCTTTCACTGGGCCTTCCCTCCACCGCCCTCTCCTTGTATCGTGGGCCCCTCCGGTCTCCAAACATCCCGCTGTGAGGCTGACCTGGGCCTTTGTGCTGGAGCAGGACAGAGGCGCAATGGGGCACCACCGTCACCTCTGTGATTAAAGGGGCCATGTTCTCAGTGCCGCGGTGCAGAGGGGATTACAGGAGGCATAAGAGCACCTCAGAGCGTTTACACGTTTACACTTCGTGAATCTGGCAACCCTATGTGGAATCTAACTCTCTATATTTTGTATCTGTATTACTGCTAAACATTACCCGAAGAACTGAAAGCATGTGTTCTGATCCACATTGTTACACTGCAGAAAGACTGAAAATATAGACTCATGTAGTTCACTTGATTTCAGCATACATATATATAATCACACCGTTTTATGTTTTTGTTTTTACTTTTGTACTCATGCAGGCTTACTTAAAATTGACTTATTCTCATTTTGTTGGTATATTGTGGTCTTTTTTGTGTTAAATAAAACTCATTTTGATAGATAGTTTCACCTTTAGCAGTTTTATCATGCAAAAAGAAATTCGCGGAAAATTGCCAAGACCGGAAGTGACATACACGTAGGGGTCTTTGGGCTTTGTTGATATGTACAGTATTTGTAAGCCATAACGTTGTATACGGACGTTTTAAACAGATATTTGTTATTCAGTGATGGACAATACAAGTCAAGGCTTTTTATTTATGAGCCCTTGCATACTTGTTATGACAGTAATTCTGATTTTGAGGACTCTGACTCGGTTCAGATGGGGAGCAAGAAGAGAACTCAACATTTGAGGACATTAGGGCCGTTTCCACGGGCTGGACTCATGGATCTATGGTGTGACCCGTCTCAACTAGGTTTGCGGATGCCGTCAACACCTTCATTTTGAGCCCGATGGTGCCACCCGAATGAGTGTAAATAAGTGTTAGCTAAAGAAGGGCTAGGGACGGCGGACTGGATATCACGGACATCACATGGCAGAGAAAAGTTAAGAAGCGTAAGAGTGACTACCGTGAAATGAAAGATCACAGCTGTAGAAGTGGACATCAGGTAACACGCTAACACCAGCAAACACGTTAATGCCCACGACACAGAGAGAGAAGCCCCGTTTATACGGAGGCGCTGGGCAGACGTTGCCAAGCTATTAACAGAAACGAACAGGCTCCTTATGCAAATTTCATAGCGTTCATACAAGGATGAAAAACGGTGTAGTTCTAGCGCCCGGCCAGTAGTGGGCAGAGGAACTTTACAACACGGCACATGCAGCAGAGGCCACTCCACCTCTGCTGCTGTGACCCGTTCTGCTCCACCCAGCGGCTACTCCACCTATACTGCTGTGACCCGTCCAGCTCCACCCAGCAGCTACTCCATCTCTGCTGCTGTGACCTATCATTAGCTTTTTAGAATGATCAATTTTATTTTTGCTGCTACTGGACACCGGAATTTTTCCTACGAGGATCAATAAAGTATCTATCTATCTATCTTTCTGTCTATATAAAAATAGTTTTTAATAAGGATAGTTCCCTTTTGATATTACTTGTTATTGATATATATTTTTGAGCGACTTTTTGCAGTGTATCTATAGCTTAAGCATCAGCGTCATTAATGTCTCAAGTGAGGACCTCTCTGTTTTTATGCACATTGACATATAAAGAGCTTTGTCTTCTTTAACTCGAAAAGGCCTCTCTGTCATTTTTCTGCGGAACCCCCTCTGCTCCTGCTACAGCTTCAGGTATTTGGGGGATCGCTCTAACAAATTTCTCTTTTCCCAAAATGGAGAGCGATACCAAAAGTTCTATTCTCTTCATTTACAAAACTTCATAGTCATACAATTCATACACATTATAAAGTTAGTTGTTGCTTTGTAAAAGGGAACTCCCAGAAAGTTGCTTTAGCTTATAGACGGGGCTACAAAAACAATAAACGCTAACAAATGTCATATTATATCTACAAATGTCGTTGTCATATTATAACAGCTGTTTTTGTCATGAGGTGAGATGAAGGAAAGACCTACATGTAGATACAGGAATATCAAAAATAAGGTAGCCTGGTCGTACCACACCATAGTACAAATTAAATTTCGTACTAAGGTCTGGAGGTGCATCATTGAGCTCCGTGAACAGGTGGGAGGGGTTAACTCCTTTTGCAGATTAAATCTGAGTTTACCGCAAGCCCCGGTGATCCAAGATGGCGCCCTATTCAAACGAATGGCTTGTCCTCAGTAGCCGAAGAAAACCGAAGGATTTAAGAAGATAAAAAGTTCAGGATGAAAAGGGACACTAAAATCCCCACAAAATCTGATCTCTATGAAAGCTGTAGGCTCTCTGTCAGCTGAGGTCGTGCTGTTTTAATTTACATTGCGATCTATGGGACTTTTTTCTGGGTAGCCCTCGTGAATTTAGTCTGTAGTACCACGGGCGCCCCCTGTGCCCATGGGTGGGACAGCACTAGCTAGTAATACCCTGTCCAGTTATTATTATAGATCCATGGTTTACCGTGACGTATGTAGTGCGCCCGAGTCTGTTGTTAGCATTTAGCCTAGCCATCTTCTTTGCCGCTAACGGAGCCCGTGGGGAGTAGCGGCACAATTTTTTCCAGCAATTACATTTGCTTAACATTACCCTTGCTTCGGCTTCAATTTCTTGATAGAACCAGACCGGTATACTTTACTAAGGCATTTTTCGCCAAACTACGACCTGCCTGTTCGACGCAAACTCTTGACATCACCCACAACTAAATACAACACCTGCCTCCCTGCTCGCTGATTTGTCGGCCAAAATTCAACCGATTGTAATTGCTAACATGGGGACCAGACCCAGACGTTACATGCAGATAAATGATGATTGAGCGGAGTGTACGGATGGCTAAGGCCTGCTGGGACAGGCTTCTATCCTGACAATGTTCAAATCCAGATTAAAAACAGTTACAGCAACAACAGAAGGATCTTTACTCTTTTTAATGCACTGTAATTATTAAGAATGTTTATGTTTCTTTTCTTGTTTTGTTTAGGACAGGGGTGTCAAACTCATTTTGGAGTTTTGTTAAGTCCTCTGAGATTACTTCTGTTGTGATTTAGGGCTATACAAGAATAAATTGTATTGTATTGTAACATCGTCACCTCCATTTGCGGCTTTGTCACAACACCCGCTTTTACCGTCGGTACCAGGCTGAGAGCGCAGGACCAGTCCACACTGTCCAACACACCGGCAACAGCAGCAGCGCTCAAAACTCCTCTGTGATAGTTTCAGTAACACCACAAATGAATATGCGACATCAGTCTCTAATCAATGGCAACATGATGTTGGTAAAAGCGTGTCGTTTCTCAGACCATGTCTGCAGCCTGTATAAGAGTTTTAACAAACTCTCCCTCACTGTGCGGCTGCGATGCTAATGCTATGTTGTTAGCACCCAGACTCAGGTAGCTTCCCTTTAAGATGATATTCCTTCAGCACTGCCACTTGTTGCATGGCACCAAGAATACCGGGGTTTCATTCTCCTCCGCGAGCAAATAAGATTTAGTCCACTTTCTTTTAGAAAAACCTGACACTCGATGTCCACTTTCCCAGGAAGTTGCTTTAGCTTATAGACGGGGCTGCAAAAACAATATAAGTAAACAAATATCATATTATATCTACAAATGTCATTGTGATATTATAACAGCTGTTTTCGATCTCTACTTTTCGCCTTTTTGACAAAGACATTTTGCTGAGGGTGTCACTCACTGCATGAAAAGTTAGATTTTCGTCACCCTAAACTGCAGGAAATCATGCTCTTTTTCGGGTATCTCAGGCAGTTTTCAGAAGGCGCAGTTAGGGTGCCCTGTCCTCCAAACTGCCGTATCCGTACCATGCTAATGTCCCTACTTTGCATATGAATGCAGCGAAACACTGCGACCGCCGAGCGCTAATGGCCCTAATTAGCATATGAATGCAGCGGCTGGCCAGGCTGCTATTCAGCATTGGTGGATACCACTACTTTCAAACTCGTGATTGGCTGAAAAATCACACGTGGCCAGCCCACGTGGGATTACTCCCCATTGGTAGCTTACTCCCCATTGGATGAAATCACTACTTTCAAATAAGTATAATCTCTCGTGATTGGCTGGCAGATCTGTCACTATTGGTCACCCTGCCTCATAATTAATGTAATAATATTTATATAAATATTCGTATTATTTATAGAAGAAATGAAAATTTTCCAGGAATATGTTCATACAAAGAAAGCTTTATTAAAACACACACACACAGCTTTATGCTCACACATAGGTAATTAAAAAATTACAACTCTGAACTGTCCAATAGCCTCCTCTGGGTTGTAATTTGGCAGGGTTCTAGATAGACGCTTAATGTGCGTGGCTGTACTTCCGCACCGCCTCTAACCGGGACTGCAGCTTGACAGAGTTCAGAAAACTCCGGCTTTCGAAAAGACGGCGACCGCACAATCCATCCAGAGACACCGTCCACAACGCCTTCTTCTTCATTGGACATTAGGTCTACCGTGGCGGACTTCCAGAGTTCCACTTTGTCACTTTCTAGCACACTCGGTCTCGATTCCAGCGGCTGAAAGAATCAGTAAATATTATTAGCCAAATCAAATCCTTTTTCCCCATCTAAACATAGTGTCTAAAGCAGACCTGGAGATTCTTATCCATGCATTTGTCTCCAGTAGGTTAGACTACTGCAACAACAGCTGCAGTACATTCAAAATGCAGCAGCTCAAGTCCTGACCAGAACCAGGAAGTACGATGGTAAGGCAAGTTTATTTGTCTAGCACAATTCATACACAATGCAACTCGAAGTGCTGAGCAAAATAAGAAAGCATTAAAATAAATAATCACAGTACATTAACAAAGATAAATATAAAATACCTCAGTTGTAGCACAGCTAAAGCTCCTCTCTGACAATGTTTAAAACCAGGTTAAAGGGAGAAACAGTAAAACACTTACACACAATGTCGTCTTTATCAACATCGTGGAAATGTGGACTTATTGTTCACATTGTATTGCAGATATTGTGTTTAGCAAATAGGAGGTCACCGTCTCATTACGAGGCGAGATTAGTCTGAAAACAAAGTGTACAGTTATGATTGTTATCTATACATATCCATTACCGACACAAAACGTGTAGGTATACCAAATTCAATTTCCATGGATACATTAACAATACTTACATAACCTTTTTGAGAAAATGGATCCTTCAATGAAAAAAGTGTGATAATTCTAAGAGCATAGCTTTTTTTGTTTTCGGGAAGGCATTTGTCTAAGGAGAAAAAAACACTCATGGTCAAGGGACTTCATGGTTACATAAAAAGGCTAAATTAATAGTATCTACAAGTACATATTTTCACAGGGACCTAACCAAGAGATAATCTACAGGAGAACATCTACCTAGGTCATTTATAAAAGAGATCAGTACTATTTATCTTACAATGGGGAATCAATAACAGTGCTGAGAGAAACTGAATTGTTACGTGATTATTGTGAAAGGTCTTTCAAGTGATTTTCATTTTATTTTGAGTAAATATCCTTCCACTTGTAAGAAGGAACTTTTGAGTATTAACTGAGGGATACAACATACCCATGTGTTTCACTCATGTCACTGACGAGAAGGTCGACAAGTTGTCTTCGAGAGCGGTGACTTAGTGATCTCACAGAATTATAATCTTTAAGGATCTCTCGGTCACCAGGGTTTTCCTGCAGTTCCACCATCTACAAACACGTGGAAAATGTAAAATGACAATCTACAATTGTACCAAAAATCTTAGGATACAAAATGCAGCAGTACCTCTTTTGATGTGTACCTTTCTCCTTTCTCCATCTCCTCTGCTGTACATATGTGCATTTCAACACCAAACACAATCATATGTCATTTCTTTTTGTTATTGCTTTATGAACTTACACAGGAATCGAGGTGCCGGACAATCTTGGAAAGCTTAGCGCCAGCAGACCCCCTTTTGGCCTTAAAGAGCCTGATGAACTGTGTCGTTAGGCAATCCAATGCTTCAACGAAATCATTGCCCAGTTTGGAGCTGGTGATCTGGTTAAATTCTGCCAGGACCTGCAAAAAAAACAACATAAAACACTTCAAGTTAAATGCATAGATGTAAAAAATGTGTACACACCTGTCTCTCTGTATAAAGTGCTGGCCAGCGCGCTTTGACATTTTCCACAGGTAGGGCAGAATTGACTATTTCTTGTTGTCGGACTGCAACTGTAAGCAAAAAAAAGAATAATCAATATATATAAAACAATATCACATGATTTTTGCTCAAATGTGTTTAAAGGAGGTCTAGATTCACTCAATAACATTATTAAGCAATGGACTTAATAAAAATAAAAAATAAAAATGAACAGAAAGACAACAGTGACAAATGAGATGAAAAAGTACAGTAATAAAAGTGAAAGTCTTAGCGCTCAAACAAAGACAGGAACAGTGCAAAACAAATGATATATGTTAGATATTCCACAGTCTCCTGTACATCAGGCTCTGCCATGAGCCCAAACTGCTTTTCCTTCGGTTCTTTCGAAGCAGTCTGCTCTGTGCGCCTCGTCCCTGCTCCTGCAGCAGTTCCATGCCTTACAGAAAGTTATCACACACGGAGCAATCACATATATATGTGATATATATATCACATATATGTTTTGGTTGTGTAAAGAGAGTGATGATAACACCAACAACCGTTTGTGTATATACTGGTCAAAGTGCTCGTGGGTCCTCCGGTATGATCCTCCGTCTGGTTGGGAGGCCACCAGCAGACTGAAGTCGTCTGCCAATGATTTGTGTCTGAAGGTCAGGAATGTAGTTGTAATCCTTTGCTTCTTTGACAGTGTGTACCCGATACCGTTTCGATTTTTTGCTGTACAGTCTCTTTAGGCTACAAGATAAGTAATTTCACGTTAGAAGACAACTATATTTATGACTTGTCAATAGGAAGTAGTGAATGATACTTACGACACTTGGCCTTTGCTGTTCACATGTGCCGGACGGCTGTTGTGGTGATTGTAGTCCAAAGCTGCGAGAAGTGTTCTTGCTTCATAAACAAAAAATGAAAAAGCAAACCGCTTTCCGGCATACATCAGAATATGGTTTTGGAATGATTCCAGCTGTGAGGTGGTCCTACAGGGAAAGTAAGTAGGAAATAGAAGAAACACAAATCATTCAAAAAAACAAAAACTGATCTCTTACCGAAATGTGAGGAACTTCTCCACATCCTTCAGCCATCTGCGGTTCAGCACGATCTGTGACAGTGCCACATGTGCTTTAGAGCTAGTTGGTACAGGCTCTTTAGTGCCATCATCCCCCAAAGGACCATGAAGGCATCTACCCAGGTCCCACTCATGCACGCCACTAACATGGTGCAGTACACCTCGCCAAATGTCCTAATAAGCAAACATAAGAAACTGAAAAGGTATAGTGAAAATGAGAAGATAAATTCTAGTTCTACTTTACTTACCATGAACTCTTCTCGGCTGCTTGCATGCTGACAGGCATACCAAAAATGGTTAACAATGTCCTTGATCCACCCAAGGATTTGTTTTTGACCTGCTAGGACACCCGCCTATCAAAGTTATTAGTTTTGGTTATGTCTATAAAAAATAATTGAAGCCTCTTAGTTAGATTTTTTTCAGCATGCCAGACATCCAGGGAATGGGTAACTCCATGATACATATATCTTCCCCGTTCTGGATCTATTATAAAGCTCAAAAATGCAGTAAGCACAAAATATAGCACATCAAATAATACAGACAAAAATACTTACGCATGAGGGCTGCAATTTGCACATGGGCGTCAGTCACAATCTTTGACTTTTAATTCTTTCGTGAGATCATCAAATGTTTTGATGAATGCTGCTTTCTCCATAGAGACACTTTTTCCACCAACTTGCCTTTTATCAACATTGACAACACTGATAATGTCCATAGTGTCAAGTTCCATCGTTGTGTATGTGCAAAACGTTGCAGAATGACCTTGTTGAATCAAATATGGTGAAACACAAAGTAATACACAATAACTATGTTGTAAAGTGAAAGGCTTCAGACTTACCTGGTGAGTCCATTCTCCCGTCAGCTGTAACAGATATAGTACTTATAGTGACTGCAAATACGACAAAGATTGTCCTTTAACACATTACTTACCAAGGGCCACAATGCCATCTTTTGACTTTAATCGTGTTACAATAGACAACCTCTTCTGCTCCCAAAATGCCTTTATTTCAGGTACGCAGTAGGAGTGTTGAATTTTGTAATAAGTTGTCGTTCAAACCATCTTCATATTCATAAATTTGAAGAGGAGGGCAATCTTAGCAAAATTATTACCACTCAGTAATAAGTTGGCAGATAACATAAAATCGCCTCCTTGCATCCCATGTCGAAGTACAGGTTGACTGTTCCACATCCATAACTTGTGTCCATAAGAGCAGAACTATGGAGAAAGAAACAAATAACTTTTACTAAATGTATAACTACACATTTTGCCTACCCTAAATACCAATCTCTAATTTCAGCATTCACTCACCCATTCCAATATGATTGATGTGCCCCTAGAACGTGATTGAACCGAAAATGGAGGCCGACCGTCACACTCAATACCAGAAACCGGATCGCTGTAATGGCATTTGTTGATGGGCAGTTGCAGAAAATTAGCCATTTGCAGCAAGCTAATAGTATACGCTATGCATGCTTGTTGGTGCACTAGGTCAGTTTCAGCAACCACACAAATTGGCTTTGGGAATGTTGATATGTCCTGCTCAGACTGATCCTCAAAGTCCTCTGGTTCTCCGGGATTTTCTGGGTCACAGATGTCCAACACAGCTTCTTCTATGCCGAGGATGGGAAGATTGTCAACTTCTCTTTGAATTGCAACACCAGCACTGAAAACAAGAACAATTTGATGCTTTTTCAAAAAACAATTAGGGAAGGACTTCCATTATTTTCAGGACAGAACATTTAATAAAAAAAACCTCAAAGATATAGGTGGGACATATTCCGAATCTAATGGATCTGAGGCCAAATCTTCATCAAACTCAATCCTGTGAAAGTAAACAGGTCATATTTTAAAACAATCAACAAAATATTTCTTTTTAAACATGTTAAGTAACTTACACACTGTCTTCTAGATTGTTTGCCCGTTTTTCGTTTAACCAAAGATCTGAATGTCTACAAAAAACAATAAATCATATAAATAAACGACCTAGAAATGAGAATACAATGTACATCTTAATGTGAATGCATGTCTACCTTTTCTCCAAAACCTCCAGCTCTTTCTCCTCTATAAAAGGCTGCACCCCTGCCACAGATAAGTCATCCCTGTTAAAAAATACAGTTTGTTTCAGTGAAATTGTCAATAAGGCTTGAATCAAACATAATGCCAATCCCATTTTTCTGGGGAAAAAAAGTACCGGTCAGATTCTACGGGACTGATTGAACTCGGGAGATCACCAGTCGCAGTAGTGGTTTTAGGAGTTGAGGCCTTGGGACTCCTTGATGCCATAATTTTTTCATAGCTATAAAGTAAATAAATAGACGTTACCTATACACACATGCATCTCATTGTATTACAGTTGGACTAACCACATTATATTACTAATATAGTCTGCAATTCTACAATACATATAGTACAGGTACTGAGGTACATAATCACTGCATCTGCAAGTTTCATAATGGTTTACATGCACAGTAGCAGCCCAATAATGTACACAGCTGTACTAAGCTAACAGATGCTAACGTTCATTCAAAAGCACTAATCAACGTAACAGTCATTATTTCTAGACATTCTTCATACAGAACAAAAAAAATGCTGAATGTGTCTCGCCAATCTGTTACTGTTCAGAAAAAAACCGAACCAAATGGAATCAGTCCATGTTGCTAAGTCAAAAAGCTAACACACAATAATGCTATATCTCTTCGTATTCGAAGACACTAGGACGTTTAGAACTGAGTCACCGTCTTACCTTCTAATCAAGATAAACGCCAAATGAGGATCATTTTTTATCCCCAGAGCGTTTCGGAGACTTCTCCATTTCTCAAACGCATGGGCGAGAGCGACTCGGGTCTGAGCTCTCCGCCGGTCGGCCTCTCGCTTCGCTCTTTTCGTAGCACTAGTGACAATCTTTTTTCTCTTCGCTTGGCGTGGAGTTCCAGACGGTGATTCTGAAGCTGGTCTCTTAGAGAAACTGCTGGATCCATCTTCAAATACGCGTGATACGGAGACGGGACAGATCCACTGAACGCGAGGGAACATATGGAGCCAAAACAGTGAACGGGCACGCGCATTGCGTCACTTCCGCTTAAACAACGCGCGAGAAAGCGACCCGAGTCTGGGATTTCTCAATCACTGTATGCGCTCACAGAAGCAACCACAGTGAATCTGCTAATGCTCAGTTTACACACCAGGCAACTGCTGATGGACCACAGATGCAAAATAATGCATTATGGCATTTTTTAACTTACGCAATGCACCTGTCAAAATTATCGTTTTGACTCACGTTAATTACATTTTTTATTAACGCGTTATTTTTTTTAAATACCCGCCCATTTATCCATAAGAATATCACTCAGAATGCTGCGTGTGAGATGGCCTGCTCCGTGGCCGCTCTGGTTGTTGTTAGCGGCTGTGAGTGAGTGCAAGCTTTAAACGGGCTGCAAGCATGGATCTAGCTATTATAATAACAGCAGCAAGCCATTGCTCCGTTCACATACTCAGCGCTCTGCGCACTGTATTCTGCCTGGTTCTTGTCTGTCAGGCGCGCTCTGCGCACTGTATTCTCCCTGGTTCTTGACTGTCAGGCGTGAGTGTTGCTCGTGTGTGTCTTTGGGAACTAATTATTTTAAAATAGTCTCTTTCAATTGCAAGTTTTGTAATCTGTTTGTTTGATCAATGGATAAAAATAAATGCAATTTAATTAAATGGCACCTTGGCCTGTCTTATACCTGTTTGCCTGCAGGACAGTTCCCTAAACTAACATATCATACTAAAATAGGGTGGGGTTGTTGCAACAATTAATCTACTTAGAAGTTATCCTAAATTACAGCCAGCTAAAGCTCGGTACCAAGACAAACGAAAAAGTAACGCAATAGTTACTTTTACTGCTAACTAGTTACTTTTATAGTGGAGTAACTCAGTTAGTGAGTCAATTACTTTTTGGTAGAAGTAACTAGTAACTATAACTAATTACTTTTTCAAAGTAACTTACCCAACACTGGTAATTATATTTGATAATCTCATTTAACTTCAATTGGACTGGATTTGAAATAGAATGTTAAACATGCGATTAATCGTGAGTTAACTCACCATTACTATGCGATTAATCAACTAAAAAAAATGAATCGTTTGACAGCCCTAGTATATATATATAATTTGAACCGAGAATAGAACACATCTTTCATGTCATGAATAAAAATATAAAAAATCCAAACTTTTGGTCTGTACTGTACATACATGAGATGAGCACTTACACTTTCAACATGTCTTTTGTCCTATTAGATTTATTTAATTGATTTTGACATGACAAGCTATAATCAATCATGATCAAATATGTGTGTGTGTGTGTGTGTGTGTGTTTGAGCATTTACAAAATCCGGGTCTACGGTGTGCTCCCCCTCAACCCTGATTAGCATTTGTATAGCTCACAGCATTGCCATTTACATGTTAAAGCCTCCTGTGGAGGAGGGAGGAGGGGACAACAAACTGCCGAATCCCAGAAGTTTCACAGTAATATACAGGGCCGAAAAGAGACGAAAATCACACTTTTCATGCAGTGACTGTCAGTCACAGAACACGCCCTGGTGGAGCCACTACAGACGCACTCGACTAGCTGCTGAGCCAAGCATACATGTGGTGTTGCGGAGCCTCGCGGCGCGGGTTTTTTATTTTTACATTTTTTATTATAATTATTATTATCATTTTACATAAATGAGCCGTGGGCCGTGTATGAATTGTGCTATACAGATAAACTTGCTCTGCCTTCTTTTGAGCTGTTGCATGTTGTCTTGGTATAAAACAATGTGAACGCTGTGAATTTCAGCTGTGGTCGTGTTCCACCAGTAAAACATGTTTCTGCTGAGACTCAATCCCAGAACGCTTTGAAAATGTGTCAAAAAGTTGTTCCTCGAGCTACAATCTTCCACATGTTTTGGTTTTTGGCAAAACATTCAAAAGCATTTGCTTGAGAAGGGGTGTAACTTTATGTGTACGGCACTAAAATAGATCTGGCTTTTCACAAAACTTTGTAAAAGGCAGTGATTGGTATTTATCGCCCTCTGTCCTTTGCCTGACCCCAAGAGGAATGTGAAGCAAACACCAGCTCACGCACGCACGCACACTCAAATTTCCCAATTGTTTCTATGGGCCCTGTTTAACCAGTACCAGGTCCTTCAGGCCCTCTTTGCTCTGGTTCTATCCAGGCAGAGCTGGTACTAAAGTGTTCTAACTGACAGATTGTCCAGAGTGCTGCAAGAAGCCATGGTTACCAAAGAATTTCCACTCTGGAATGAAGTAGAGTAGTGCCGAAGAGAGTACAGTAAAGTAGGTTTGGAGGAAACTGCCTTTTATTAGCAGTGCAGTAAGAAGCCACCTTTAGTTTGGATGGTATATGTTGGCCACAACACACTCGCTTTTCAACAAGAAGGCCCTGGACTCAAATCCCAGAATAGTTTGCATGTTCTCCCCATGTGTGATCTCCAGGTGTTCAGGGTTCCTCAAGGTGCTCCGGTTTCCCCTACCACTATACACATGTACAATTGTTTCTTTTAATGAAATCAAAATGTAATATCTCACTTCTGTCAATGGACAGCAGTTTTACTGATTCTGATCATTTTAATCTCCGTTTTATATGTTTATAGACTATGCCTGAGTCCTGACACTGGCCTAGTCCCTCTCCTGCCCCTGGTCCTTGCTCTCACCCTGGTTGGGGGGCTCAATGGCTCAGTTGGTAGAGCCTTTGAGCCTGAAGGTCGTGGGTTCGAGTGGGTTGTGTCCTTAGGCAAGAAACTTCACCCACATTGATTAGAATGAGTCTAGCGTGTGTGTGGTCGGAGGGGCGGATGGCACAGACTGGTTGCCTCGCTTCTGTCAGTGTGCCCCAGGGAAGATGTGGCTACAGTAGTAGTTTATCACCACTGTGTATGGAGTGAATGAATAATGACATGTGAAGTGTCTTTGAGTGTCTAAAATTGCGCTAAATAAAACCCTATTATTATTATTTTTATTATTATTGATCCCTGTCCTCTCCCTGGTTCCTGTCCTATGGAGGACCAAAACTTTAAATAAACATGCTTTCCTGCCCCTGGTCCCTGTCCTCTTCCTGCTCCTTGCCCTCACTCTGGTCCCTGTCCTCTCCCTGGTCCCTGTCAGAGCTGCCTGAGCGATGGGTCCCCTCCTGAGGCCCCCCTGTCCCATAGCTTTCACTTGCCGCCGCTCTGCTTTGATCATCCTTTTGACAAACGACTGTCCTGAGAGCAGCAGCAGCCCCCAGCTCCCCGCATCAGCCTGTTGGTATGGATGAGGGCCCTTTGGAGACGCAGGACCCCCCCAGAGCTGAGATGTGCGGGATAGGGCTGATGGAGAGGTGTGGAGGACAGGATTCAGACTGGGGCCACGCCTGTGTGACCCCAGATCAAAGGCTTCCAGCATGTGGAAGTATTTGTATTTTGTATTTTACACTTAAGTTTATGTCCCAGTGGTGAGGACAGGGACTCACAGGTGAATTCACTTTTCCCTTGCAAAATGTAAAAAGAATAAATAGAGTGGGGTAAAAAACTTTTCAGATGTAATTTAAAGAACAAATATTGTGACAAATCATGATTATACTTGTTACATTTTTACTTTAATGTTTTGAAATTTGAAATGTCTTCAGTCGAAAATATATGTTGGAATATTTGTTTGTCGTAACATAATTGGTAGTTATTTGTTTGTCTCATCACACGAGGTATTTTGGGAGAAGTATCTTGCCTAAGGGCCACAGAGAATGTTTGTATTTTTAAAAGCAGGCAAAGATAGATAAATAGGCTTCACAGGCTTCTCATTTTAAGAAACCATCCTACTCTCCCTACGCTCTCCTCCCTTGACCCATCTAGTTTTAGTAGCGATCTGATAGGCATTATCATAACTTCTTATGAGCTGTACAGCAATTACCGATGAAACGGTACGATGGTACAAAAACAACAGCCTGCTATAACTGAAAGATTACCGCTAGTTTCGCGTCCAAAAGTCCGAGGCGGTCCTGCACCCGCAGGTCTCTCCGGAGGATACGATGAAAGCTAGCTATATTCACCCGGGCTTGATTAACTTCTCTGATCTTCGCTTTTGTTCCCTCTTCTCTTCCTCACTGTTGCGTCATTTGGGCTGTGTTGCTGTGTCTGCAGTTACAGCCAGAGGGGGTATAGCCACCTTCACCTGCCATGCTGTTTGTTGTGTTTACATGCGCTGCAGACGCTAGAGGACGTGGCCTGTTCGTAACAGCGCCGCTCCTCGTTGGAAGAGAACCAGCGTCACACAAAGTTTCTACACAGCAGTCTTTATGGCCTGATTTCATACACAAGCTGAATCAATGAGCTCAACTTTTAATTAACTTTTACTTCAACTTTCTACAGAAAAACAGAATGTGAATAATGTTAATGCCGTTTTATGTGGATTTATTGTTGTTATAATAAACAAATATAGTACATATGTACACTATGTTGTCATTTATTCCATTCGAAAAACCATTTATAGAAAAATAATAATTTTGCCGATAGTTCAAAATGCGAATTTTTAAGCTGTAATTAACTCGATTAAAAATGTTAATCGTTTGAGAGCCATAATTATTTCATTTTATATATTCTGTTTAGCTTTTAGACAAACATCTATTTAACTTTATTTTATTTCTTAGTCTATTTTTTTGTATTTATTGTAGTCCTTTTTAGTCTGACATTTTAATATTTTACTTTTTTTTGTATTGTTTTAGTATCTCCAGTGTTTCCTCTGGAGGAGCCCTCTGCACTGGGAGCAGTGGTTCGGTGTGGCTGTGGGGCTAGGATAACAAGAGCATAAAAAAGGCTGTATGTTTACTCCCCCCATTTATTCAGTTTTGCCGTATGTGAAATGTTTGGGTATTTAAATGTCAGTCGTTGTAATAATATTATCCTGTTCCTCTGACCTGCGCTTCAGTCCCCCTCACTCTGTTTGTGTTTTGTCACTTGTCAGATTTCAGTACAATTGATTTTTCTACATCTTTCAAAAGCCGTGAAGAAGTTTCACATTGCGATACATAAATCGCACGAAGAGACCTTGCCAACTTCTTCTCAGAGAGTGGAGAGCATGAAGTTTTTGTAAGGGGCGACCGGACGGGCTGCGGCGCATTACAGCCGTCAAACTCACTCATGGTTACCCCCATCAGCCCGGGTCACCTCCCATCGGCGAGGAGTTTTTCTCAGCCTGAAAACTACAGTCATAAGCCCAGATTCCACCGGCTTGACTTGGCCCAATTCCACTCTACTCTACTTGGTTGCATTTCCTTTATGCTGATATCTGGTGCCGTATCTGGCCCTGAATTTACTCTACAGGGTGTCTATGGGTCTATCTGTCTCTTTCTGTATGTCTATGTCTGTCTCTATCTTTCTCTCTTTCATCCATCCATCTATATTACTATCAGAACAGATCAGTACCAATTTGGCCTGGATTGAACCAGGGCCAAGTAACTGCAAAACAGCATAGGGCCGGTGGAAACAGAACTATAGCAATAGTCTTAGCAACAAGTCAGCCCCTGTTATGACGCAAGGCTAATCCCGGAAATTGGCTCCAGTTAGCTTATGTTCAAATTGCCTTTGTCCGCATTAGGCTAACATTCAAGACAATATTGGTAATTATTTATTATTTTCTTCATTTGAAATGTAAGATGGTAACGCAAGGCACAGTTCAAACACAAGGCAACAAAGATTAACAAAACGATAAATCTAAATAAAAAAATAAAAAAATAATAATGAATCATCACAGTGCATTAAATCAGTGTTTTTCAACCGTTTTTGAGCCAAGGCACAATTTTTTCATGAAAAAAATCTTTCGACGATTCACAATATAAAGTCATTCTCAAAGTGCTTAAATCCGAGCCTTGACATTCATCTTTGTTTAATATTTCTCAATACAATGAGTTAACAAGAGTTTGGGAAAAGTGTGGAAAAAAACATTAGAAAAGTCAAACAATGACTTACAGGGCCTTAAGTAGGCAAAATTATAATAAAAATAATTGGCCTGTTGCGTGTTCAGTTTGATTTGTTCACAACAATTTACTTTTGTTCACAAATAAAATGCATCGCTAATGCATGGGGAAAATTTGGGTATCCGAGCTTTAAATGCAGGAGTTTTGGAGGAGACACGGGAGATGGTCCTGAGCATGAGTCCATGCTTCTGTCTGCGCGTCTATGGTTCTGTCCACAAGTCTATGGTTCTGTCTGCGCGTCTAAGGTCATGTCCGCACATCTACGGTGGCTGCGCGTCTATGGTGGCTATGCGTCTATGGTTCTGTCCGTGCGTCTATGGTTCTGTCCACGCGTCAATGGTTCTGTCCGCATGTCTATGGTTCTGTCTATGCGTCTATGGTCCGTGCTCTGTACCATGTTATGGATGTACATTCGCTGAGCTGTTGTCAAAGCAGCTGCCAGTACAAAGCAGCCACAGCTGCCCCGGGGTCGAAGCGGAGGACATGAGTCCTGTTCAGAAATGGCATAATTCCTTTTCAAAAACGTCTCAATCACTTTCACATCCCACTTGCCACAATGCTTATCGGTATGATATGTGGTTGCTCCACAGATCAAAACAAGTCGGCACTGGCCAACGTGGATGCGTTTATTTTTTTAGACAAAGAATGCAAATTTCTAAGGGTACTCCAGACAAAATCATACACACAGTGGTTGAAAAACACTGCATTAAATAATAGTGAAGATACAATGCTTGAGTTGTGTCCACACAACACAGAACTTATTTTAAGCGGAAAGCTTAACCTTAAAAATTGTCAAAAACATAAATCACAAAACGAAAAGCATAAATACTTTCTGAACAATGGTTCAGCCCAACAGTCGCAGGGGGTGGGGAGAAAGAGAACTGAGAGCAATGGAAACCAGGTGTGTGGAGATAAGATGGACAAGAGGAGGAAGGGGAGGGGTCTGGCCTGGGCTGAGGGCCACTGGGTCGTCCTGCGGTCACAGGGGTCTGGGGGGTTATGGAGGTAAAGTGCTGTGTGTTAGTTTAAGCAGGTCGCGGCTCAGTCAGGCTGCCTGTGGATCCTGATTGGCCGACCAGAGAGGGGGATATGTGCCTGTGGATTCATCTCTTGTAAGTGATTGACAAGCAGTGTTGGATATGGGGATTGTTAATTAACTGCTGAGGGAGGGTCATTGACTTTAACTTCAAACTTCGTCTAAAGCAGGGGTGTCATTCATACGGCCCGCGGGCCGGTACCGGCCCGCCAATAGATTTGACACGGCCCGCGGCTCATTTATGTAAAAATATAATAATAATACATTTTAAAAAGCCGCTCCGCGACGCGAGGCGACGCGAGGCTCCGCGCGACGCCGCAGCGCCGCGCTCAGGGGTGAGTCCAGTGCGTCTGTAGTGGCTCCACCAGAGCGGTGCTGAAGGAATAACATCTTAAACTACAAGACTCGGCGAAAAATACGGCACTTTGAGCGGAGAATTGAGAAAACAGAAGACAAACATGTCTGGCCCTGAAGACACAGCAGTCTGTTTGTGCCCAGAGCGAGAGGTTAGTTCTGCTGCTGTAAAGGGAAGCTACCTGTGCTAACAACATTAGCATTAGCATCGCAGCCGCACAGTGAGAGAAAGTTTGTTAAAACTCTCACAGGCTGCAGACAAGGTATGAGAAACCACTCGCTTTTACCAACATGTTGCCATTGATAAGAGACTGATGTTACAGATTCATTTGTGGTGTTACTGAAACTATCAGAGGAGTTTTGAGCGCTGCTGCTGGTGCTGCTGCTGGTTCTGCTGTTGTTGCTGGTGTGTTGGACAGTGTGGACGGGTACCGATGGTAAAAACAGGTGTAGTGACAAAGCTGCAAATGGAGGTGATGATTTTTGGACATTTGACTGTATTTTACACAGAGACACTGCTGCAGTCGTTAAGAATGGATCACGTTATGGAAGTTGTTTTATTCATTTCAAGTGAATCATGGTCAGTTTGATGCTTTCTCTCTGATAATAACATAACCATGGACCTTACACACTGAAGAAGGTTAATGTGATAATAACATAACCATGGACCTTACCATACTGAAGATGGTTAATGTGATAATAACATAACCATGGACCTTAACACACTGAAGATGGTTAATGTGATAATAACATCACCATGGACCTTACCACACTGAAGATGGTTAATGTGACAATAACATAACCATGGACCTTACCACACTGAAGATGGTTAAGCTGAGGTGCTGTGTTAAAGTGCTTTTTTCTATCTACCTACTTTACCTTTGTGAGCAAGTTTTCTCTGTAATGAGCCTTAAAACAAAGCTAACATACAAATATTAATATACATATTGTGAAATACCATTTTCAATGTAATATTGTAAATACATTACATTATTTGCACTATGGAAAACTCACTGTTTCATTTAAGTTTGTAACAGAAAACTGAGTATTAAAGGATAGTGTTTTAAAGGAAGTTTTAAATAAATGTGTTTATGTGCTCAAAAAGTTGTACTTTGTACCGTTTTTGGATATTTTTGTAGAGCATCTCCTGGTCCGGCCCACTTGAGATCAGATTAGGTTGTATGTGGCCCCCGGACCAAAATGAGTTTGACACCCCTGGTCTAAAGGGATTCAGCAGGTCTTAAACCTCCCTGCTGCTGTCAGACTGTACAATGAACTATGAAGATTGAAGACTGATGAACACTGCTGACCAACATGTACAGTAGTATCACATGCTGCTAACATGTAAAGTAGTATCACATGCTGCTAACATGTAAAGTAGTATCACATGCTGCTAACATGTAAAGTAGTATCACATGCTAACATGTACAGTGCTAACGTGTAGAGCCATAGTTTAGTTTAGTTTATTTAAGGACTTGCATTAAAAAGATGGCTGCCCCAGATTTAGCACCATGCTACTTTTTCATTGGTAGTCCTTGACAATACAATCATTATACATACATTTTAAAATACAGTTTTGCAAGTAGCTCAAGTCTCAATGTATAAAATACAATATAATAAATGGAGAATGGAGAATGTGCAAATTACTGGTATAAGTTGCAATACAAAGTTACAATACAGCAGCCACATATAAAGTTTCACATGCTGCTAACATGTTCAGTAGTATCCTCACTATATATTGAGGGGAATATTTGAACCCTCACGCTAATGAGTTATTGATATTTTATGTTATTGCAATATTCAATTAAATTCATGGTATTTGTGCATTAACCTGAATCACAGCAGTGGGTGATCTTCCTACGCTGCAGGACTTGAGGGCGGGCCGGTCCAATCACTGCCGACCCCTCTCACCCCGAACATGGACTATTGCAGTCACTCCCCTCAGACGGCAAGCTGTCTGAGTGGTTAGCACCCTCGCTTCTTGGTAAGAAGGTCCTGGCTTCAAATCTCAGTCGAAGTTTTCATTTTTCTCCCGTATTTGCATACGTTTTCTTTGTTTGCTCCAGTTTCCCCTACCAATAAAAACCTATACATGTGCTCTGGTCCTGAAGAGCATCAACATCTGGAGATGGGTCCCCTGTTACTAAGGCCCTAGTGGCATTGACGGATGGGTCAAATGCAGAGGAGACATTTACTAGAACCTCCCTCAAACAGGGAAGTGCTGTATAAAACTGATAATACAATAATAATCGTATTTGTATTATTATTATTATTATCATGTGTAATTGCTGTTCGTTCCCGACATTAGGTGGAAGAGGACCAGTATGACCTCTATCCGCTCTGCTGTGACCTTCCCGCCGTCCTCCTGTCAGCGTGCAGGTTGGCGTCCTGTGGCTCGGGTGCTGCTGTTCTCTCCACACTGATTTGTTCGTGTGGGAGGAGGTAGAGGGGGGGGGGGGGGGAGTCACACGCGCCCTCACTCAGAGAGGGCCCCCAGCGGTGAGAACAGTGATTGAGAAGCCGTGTGGTGACGGGACCAGCAGAAGCTGAGTGTTGTGGAAATCAACAAAGATATACTTCTTTTGAAGCGACCGAATGAGATCTGACAACAGAAAGCAGGACAGGGCAGGATCAAAGGCCAGTTTACACCACCTCTACTCTACACTTTACCCCAATTGGGAGTGTTTCCTCTCGCCTTTTTAACCAGTAGCAAGTCATTCTTTAGTCCCTCTTGGCCCTGGCTTTATCCAGACCGAGCTGGTGTTCTGAAACCCAGCTTCCACCAGCCCAACTTTGACCTCTACTCTACTCTAACTAGGGCACGGTCACATAGGTTTTCACATCGTTGCCATAGGGGTGTGAAAACGGCCCGCGGTCACATGAACGTTTATTCGCAAACGTGCCAGAGTAACTGTGCTGTAGTACAACGCTTGGTCCAGCTGGTGGCGCTAATACTAACTCCAGCGACTACATCCTACGTTGTCCTGGTTGAGTTTCCGTTTCTGTTCCTGTTCACGCTCTGCTACTGTAGCTAACAACTCGAGTACGAGTCGCGTTGTTAGGGGAAAGACACAGCTCATACTTGTCCTCATTGCTCTGATGCAAAGTGCAGCAGTTCAATGGGTAACATGTGTGTGCACACGTGTGTGTGTGTGTGTGTGTGTGTGTGCCGCGGACACAAGTGCACACACACACACGAGCGTAAGAGCATGAAGAGCTGATAAATGAATGAATGAGAATGAAAGAATGAAAAGTGAGGCGTACGAGCAGAGAGACCGGAGATGGGCAGGATACAAGTGTGTGTTAGTGTGTTCTGGCGATTAAATAAAGACTGATTCTTGCATGTCTGAAGTATTATTGCAATAGCACCACACACTGAGAGCGAGGGTCAGAACAGAGGGGTCCCTTTTCTTTGGCCCTGGAGCGACACACCCCCCTGAGCCCTTGACCACGGTCCGGGGCTTATATGAAAGGTTTAACACAAGCGGAGAATACAAAAGTGCAGGAGAGACGTGTGTAAAAATGCCTGTCCCCACCACACCTCATCCCCCACTCCCCACCACCCGCCACACTGACCCCCCTCATCTGGGCTTTGCAAGCGGGCCCTGGCCCAAGTCTTCAAGCATGCTTGGGCATAGTTGGGGCTATCGTGACCAAGCCCACTTGGGCTTTAGGCTGTGCATGTGACCGCAGCCTAATTGTTTTTTCCTTTATACTTTAGTAATTCGCACCCTGGCCAATCACAGTCAGTTAACTTTAATGGTTTAACTTTTGAGTCACTATATCTACTTGAAGCTTGGAACTGAAATCAATTTTTTGGGGCATCTCATTTAGTTTTACACACTTTTACCATCAAACTACTGTACATCTCCACCATTTGGTAATAATAAAAAAAACTAGGTTAAAAAAAATAAACAAATTATTTGTGATCCTAGTGCTCCTACATCTTAGAAAATCCTAAAAAGAAAGAATTGCATTGCTTTCTTCATAGAGTGAACTTTAAAGGGTTAAAGCACTTCAGAACCAGCTTGGCCTGGTAGATCCAGGACTGAGGCTGTAGGTCCAGGACTGAAGCAGTGACTTTTTTGAATGGGTTCATATTGGATAATAGCTGTGAATAATTCATATCCCATTCACAACCGCCTTCACTGTCACAGACACACCTCCGCTCACCAGTAGGGGGCGTAGCGGCAGATGAGCAGTCACTCCTTCTGACATTTACGACTCCTGTTTCGCCCCGAGGTCTCGACTGAACTTTTCACTTTCCTTTGAAGACCTGTCTGACTCCCAACACTCACAGAGAAGTCAGATTCCAAACAATGGGTGATTTATCGCGGACAGGGCGCGTCATCGACCAGAGGATCATTTGGATCAAAGATAAACAAGGAGAGGGTGCTGAGAGACAGGGCACACGTAGGAGGAGGAGGAAGTGGGGGGGACGGCTTTATGGGGCTGGTGTGATGGAAATGCCACACATGTTACAGCTATTTGGTGAATGTCAAGTTTTCAGGAGGTCAAAAGGTAATAGGTCAAGGATCAGTTTAAAGATACTGAAATATATAGCATAGGGGAGAAAGGAAGTAAGGAGCGAGGAAATAAAGTGAGGAGAGAGGGAGAGAAGATAGCAAGGAGTGATTTTTTTGGTACCAGATAACAGTTTTGATTACTTGTTTTACAGTTGAGAAATACATTGAATTAATATCATTGAGGGAGTGGGGACAGAGGTATTAGGGAGCCAGGAGAGAGAGGGAGTGAGGAGGGAGGTAGAGTGTGAGAGACGAGGGAGTGACGAGAGAAGGGGGAAGAAGACATTTTTTGGTACCAGATAACAGTTTTGATTACTCGTTTTACAGGTCAGAAATACACAGAATTAATATCATCGAGGGAGCAATGACAGAGGAAGTGAGGAAGGAGGGAGTGAGGAGAGAGAGTGCGACAGGGTGTTGAGAAAGGAGAGGCAGCCGAGGAGCCAAGCCAAGGACTGGGGTTTGATGTGGGCGTATTCCTGACAGCCGTAATTCTGCAGCCTACAGAATTTCATCAACAAGACTTGTGTTTAAGCCGGAGCCGCGGGGCCTCAGGGCTTTCAAGTCGCCGCTCTGACAGGTAGATATATTAGTCCTGAAATTTGTACAGATCTCACGTCACTCATGGCAAACTGTCAAAGAGTCAGAGCCAGCGATGCTCCTGCGGGTCCCTGTTCCACTTTCCTTTCTTCCACATTGACGGCACATTTCTCATTTCTTTTAGTTTTTGGCTTCAGCTCGGAACATTATTGCAGTTTGAGCCAAAAGATGGACGAGCGGCGATCATGTCCCACTTAAGCCGTTCCAAGAGTTTGAGACAAAATACAGAGCGACATCCATCACCAAAAAGTACATTCTAACGGAGATTAAAAATGCAAAAAACATGAATTTGTCAGGGGGTTTTTCCAAGGTTTTTGCAGTGCGTCAAGCCTGAGGCAGAGCAGGGTTTGGGAAGGAGGGATGGGGGAGGAAGGGGGAGAGGTTTTGAGTGATATTTAGGAGGAAACCCAGCCTTCATCGTGTTGGATTTATGAGCTGTTCTGTGGAACTTCGCACTACGATGTTTAGAGCAAAAACACATGCGTAGGTTCAATGCCATCTCTGTTTTACCCTGCTTTTCTTTCAATGAATTTAGGGAGAGGATTTAGTCATAGAGTATGCTGAAAGTAGTTCTTTTTTTATTCATTTTTATTTACACACCAGGTAAACATGTACATAGGGACAGTCAATAAGCAAGCAATACAAACATTAATAATATTAGTTATAGAAAGGACTTAAACAATATATACAGTAAAAATAACTGAATTTAGGTGTGCGTGTGCATGTGCGTGCGTGTGTGTGTGCGTGCGTGGGGTGGGGTTATATTGGCATTAACCTAAATGGGGGGGTAAAAATGACAAAATTAGAAGATGTAATACAGTGACAAACGGTATACAGTAAAACCATCTGCAAAAGGACTACAGAGGGGAGGAGAAACAAATAATAAAAGTAAATTAATAAACCAACCAATTAAACAATCATAATAACCACAGGAACAACAGTGACAATAACAACAGAAAAGAGATTCAACTATATTATATATATATATATATATATATATATATATATATATATATATATAATTCGCCTCATAGAGAATTAAGATGCATACATATACATACACATATATATATATACACACATAACTATTATTAATAATAATAAATAACAGATAACATGTCTATACAATAAATATATATATGTATGTACCCATTTACATACATACAAACACACCCACACACATACTATACAAACATATTACAATCGGGTTTTTTTCTGTTTTTTTTCTGGTGATTACAAGTTCCAACATCAGATGTTTGAGGCACATTAAACACATTATATTTTAAAATTAGCTACTGTTTGATGTTATTATTCATATTATTGATGATGTATGATTTTTTTTCCCTACATAGTGAGATGCATTAAAAAAGCCAGGGTGTGAAGTGGGTCCATTGGTGAGGCTGGTTGCTCCCCTCCAATAAACTCTCACCCAGCTGCACTAACAACTGAACAAATGTTGGTTATTGAGCTGAGCTATTCTGTGTAGTGCATTAAAAAGATGGGGATTAATGAGCCTGTTAAGAGGAGGAACCTCTCAACAGACCCATCTCCCCACTGTCCTAATCCTAATTATTCTCTGGTAATGACAAGTTTGCACAAGTTGTGTGTTAAATGTGCCTCCTACACAATGTATTAGTATTTTATTTTTTTACTTATATATATTATTTATTTTTCCTATTGTTAGTGTGTGTGTATACACATGCATACAAGCAAGCATATGCATAAAGATAGATATATATAATGGCATGGGGATACATATATAACAGTCATCATCACAATTATGCATTTATTTGTTTTTAGTGATTATTATTATAATATTGTTATTATTCTTTATCTAATCTATTTATCTATATTTTATTTATTTATCTTTCTTTTACATATACAGTGGGGCAAAAAAGTATTTAGTCAGCCACCGATTGTGCAAGTTCTCCCACTTAAAATAATGACAGAGGTCTGTAATTTTCATCATAGGTACACTTCAACTGTGAGAGACGGAATGTGAAAAAAAAATCCAGGAATTCACATTGTAGGATTTTTAAAGAATTTATTTGTAAATTATGGTGGAAAATAAGTATTTGGTCAATAACAAAAATGTAACTCAATACTTTGTAATATAACCTTTGTTGGCAAAAACAGAGGTCAAACGATGACTATAGGTCTTTACCAGGTTTGCACACACAGTAGCTGGTATTTTGGCCCATTCCTCCATGCAAATCTTCTCGTGAGCAGTGAACACGGACTTTCAACTCCCTCCACAGATTTTCAATGGGGTCGAGGTCTGGAGACTGGCTAGGCCACTCCAGGACTTTCAAATGCTTCTTACGGAGCCACTGATTCGTTGCCGGGGCGGTGTGTTTGGGATCATTGTCATGCTGGAAGACCCAGCCACGTTTCATCTTCAAAGCTCTCACTGATGGAAGTAGG